TATATTCTGCAACTGGTCTGTGGCAGACCATGTCAGGAGATGCAGTACAGTATGCGGAGAGCTAAACACATATGATGCCAAAGAGATGACTATATGAAACTGTTTTGAAGCTAGATTGTAATTACATTGCCTGATGAGATTAGGAAATGTGTATAATAAGCCACTCATAAAACAAAGAGATGTGGAAGGCAGGAGCAGCCCAAATTTATTTAAGTGTCTCATCCTTGTCACCAAGTCTCCTGAGCTTCTTTTGATGGTACAATGGGTTACAAGCTTTTTATTAATACGCATCAGGTTCTGGATGAATTGTCATCTCTATGTAATTGCTTTGATTTCTCCCTCCAGACTGAAAACGCCACACAACCAATTCTCCAGCAAAAGCACAAATAGACATTCAGGCAGGGAAAAAAGAGGAAAAAATAGCCCTGCTGAATAATGGTAAAAAAAGGCAGAAGAAATATCATGTGACCCACCAAACTGAAATAAGGAAAGCAAAGTTAGCTGTTTCCAACTGTCCTCACAGTATTTATAGCTAAAGTGACTAATGCACAACTCTTATGATCTGAATTTTGAAACGGGGCTGTGTATAACGGATTTGGTGGACTGCAGATGAAAATCCCCCCAAACAAAGTGATCCTGATAAAGGATTCAAGATGACACATAAGTAGGCAAACCATGTTACATGTTGCATCACCCTGTCCTCTCCACACAAATACCAGTGTCAGAGCAACGAATGTTGATTCAGCATGTGTCATTTAGGACAGGCAGTTTAGCAGGGCTGTGCCTCTTTCTGAAGATTTTGGAGAATGGGAAAATCTTCCCTGTAGAGCCGTGAATGCATAAACTGTTTTATTGGTGAGTTTTTGCTGTTCACTTCATATTTTGTAACTTAATATGAAATCCAAATTAAATATCTGATGGTCAGTTCTCAGTTTCATACATGCAGAATTCTTACAGTCTGACTGTGAGATATGACTGTCAGTGGAGGTTAGGGTAAGTGAAAAAGCAGATAAGAAGCTTTAAATATGGGTTTGGACTTGAAAATTAAATTATTAAATTACAGATCTCTGCATTTCATAAACACTTCTCATTAATGAATAATATACAGTAGGTAATTTTACTTTTAATTTTACTTGTGTGGTGCAGGGGTCCTCAGATCATCTCTGGATCTGGTGTGCTGTATGTTTGGAGTTTGTAAATTTTCTCAGTGTTTGCATGGGTTTTGGGTGCTCCAGTTTCCTTCCACAGTCTGAAATCATACTGTTATGTTAATTGGCTTGTAGGAAAATGGGCTCTGGTGAAAGTGTGTGTGTCTTTGTGACTGTGTGCCCAGAGATGGACTGTTGTCCCATCCAGAGTGTACCTGCATGATAATAATAATAATAATTGCTTACATTTATATAGTGCTTTTTCTGGACACTCCACGCAAGCGCTTTACAGGTAATGGGAACTCCCCTCCACCACCACCAATGGATGGTGCGACGGCAGCCATAGTGCACCAGAACGCTCACCACACATCAGCTATCAGTGGGGAGGAGAGCAGAGTAATGAAACCAATTCATAGATGGGGATTATTAGGAGGGCCAATGGGAAATTTGGCTCTTTACAAGAAACACCCTGGGATTTTTATTTTTACATCTCATCCGAAGGACAGCGCCTGTTTACAGTATAGTGTCCCCATCACTTTACTGGGGCATTAGGACCCACATGGACCACAGGGTGAGCAGCCCCTGCTGGCCCCACTAACTTCCAGCAGCAACCTTAGTTTTTCCCAGGAGGTCTCCCATCCAGGTACTGACCAGGCTCACACCTGCTTAGCTTCAGTGGGCTGCCAGTTGTGAGTTGCAGGGTGATACGGCTGCTGGCTGCTGCCCATTGCTTACCAGGATAGGACCTGGCTCTCCCTCGCCCCTGTATTGGATAAATGGATGGATTTGACATACTTCTGTATGTCAAATCCTCAAAAGGGGAACTTATGTAAATGTAGGAGGTCAAAATGATGTCATTGATTTTTTAGATGCAACAAATGATAAAACAAAGCAATTACTTTTAAAATAAATCTTTATACTGTTTTTTTTCCCCTGTTTTGAGGCAGTACATTATGTCCTCTCCACAGGCAGTTTAAAGTAACCCGTTTACACCAAATGAATAAATAACAAGCTGTAGTATAATAAATTACACATTCAACTCTTAGTCTGGTTAACAATCCATGGTGAATTGACGTTTTACTAGTGTGAGGAAATTGTTCTGGTGTTGATTATAAATCCATTAGGGTAATTGTGCACTGTGTGATTTGGCATTGTTTTTTTCCCACACTTTAGTATTAGAATTATTACCTTTGGGAGATACATCTAGGTAAAAAGAAAGCTTCTGTTTGTTAAGTAGGAAACCATCAATTCTTGATGCAATATTGAATCGATCTTAAAATGTTCAGAACTACTCATATGTCACCTGTAGAATTGTAATACAAATACAAGTGTTTGTATAAAAAGTATCTATTAAGGAGAAACTCACTCCTTAGATGTACAAATGAACGCTGATCGTGTCAACAGGTAGAACTTAAGATAAAGATAGATAGATACTTTATTGATCACGTGAGGGAAATTGCAGGGTGCTTTGTAAGTAGATGTTCGTCCAGTACAGCGACCACAACAGAGGGAGAAGGAGAGGGAGAGAGAGGTGTCATTTTTTCCTTAAAATGACACCACTCAAACATAGTGGTGTCATTTTAAGGAAACGGGACTGCCTACTAGTGCTGTCTTCATTAAACAAACTGAAGCCAGCTGAGAAATAAGATGCTGGAGATGATAATATGCTCCAGCATGCAGTACAAAGCAAGCATGAAGAACTGCAACTTCTTTATAAATGTGCAGGAGCTTATGGCCCTTGACTTTAATTAGATGGAGGAAGAAGATTTGGGAAGCCAGTCACTTTGAGAGTAAAAGATGATAGAATTAGGAAGCAAAACAAACAGCTCATTATGACTGGGGTGCACAGTATATGACTTAACAGTACCTATTTAAACTACCACAAAATGTGCAGATCCCATATTAGTATCTTCACTCACCTTCGGGTTCATGGAAGAGAGTCATCCGTGACTGTGAGAATGGAAAAAGGCTAAAAGACCGGCTTTGAGATGAATTCCTGAAAATGACATAATCTATTACAGTACAAATAATTATAATAACAGCAATTAATTAAAAATTAATCAGAAAAGAAAAATCTAAAAAATATAAATTTTACTTATTTTATTACATGAACTAGTGTCCCCATAGTGCAAAGAGGAAATATTATAATTCATAATACTTCTGATCTGGGGTGTAGCTTAGCCCAGGCCTCAGGAAGTGAAAGGCTTCACTGATCACAAAGTACTGATACTTTTTAAAGCTTAGACCCTGGTGCAAATATAGTAAATCCATTACTTAATAATAATACCTGATTAAGTGTAGTTGATTGGCTTGTCTGTTATTTGTAACATGCAACCAGTATAGTTAACCAGTACAAAGTCAAAGTGGGATAATCAGATGACGTTTGAGAAATGTCACAATTTTTGAACATTTTATTAAAGCATCTGCTTATCTTGGTATTCTTTATACTGTATATATGTCACTGCATCTGTGCACCCTGATTAATCTTATCATGCTAGAAAGCTCTTCACCTTCAAAACAGGATATAACTCAAGAGAAGAGGAAGTCAAAGCAAGAATGAGAATGTACAGTATTTGACATGTTTACACAGAGGGGTTGTGGTGAGTCTTTTTTCCCTTCGTCTGCATGCAGACAAATATAACACAGAAAACCTAATGTAATAATGCACAACTAAACCCCAAATGTCTGCGCCTACTTTCCACCATCGTAGGTTTAATACTATAAAACTGCAAGGTTATTCCAGGTCAGAAGCAATACTGAAAATATTGAAATGTGTGTTGCATTTCAACGCAATGACTAAAATAAAATAGATACATTTTAATTTGTGTAGGATTTAGGTTCGTAACAAACACAATGTAAAATATTTTTTATTCATCCATCTTACACGTCAGCCTAACATGTCATTCACTGTCTTCCTGAAAGGCTTACTGGATGTTTTCCCCCTGGAAACCACGTTTGATACTCATCTAATGATGACTTCAAAGACATAAACAGAAGGTGTTAAAGCCTCTATTAGATACAAGCTGAGGTACAGACATCCATTTAAACACTTAAAAGAAACACTTCTTATATATAACATAGTTTGCATAGTGATTTGTCAGTTGGTGTTATGTGTATTTTTAATATCTTGGAGCTAAATCCGTTTGTGTAATGTAAAGGCTACATCGCTAGATTTTGAGCAAAGTAAGGCGTTGTCAAATCTAGACAGAACAAACATATCACAAGCATTAATCTCCACATATTTGATGCAACCTATATTTTGTCTTCGCGAAAGTCCATGCAAAATGAGTAAAGCTTTTTTAACTCGAAGTTAAATGCTTTTTCACCAAGAACTTTTTGCGCTGCAATTCAACGGAACAGAATAGAAAAAGTTCATTTGGAGCAAAGCTGCAGCATTGCAGAAAGAAGGGTTTAAAGAAAAAAGCTACGTCATGGAAATAATGACGTCAGGTCTAATTAGCCGCCGGGAAAGACTTTGTCCCAGACTGTGGGTGGGGTTTGCATAACAAAACAGGCTGAACCAAGCACAGCTATGCAGATTTTTTAAAGGCTCAGTACACTACACAGCAAACCAGTAGACAGACAGGAGGAGACGGAGAATCTCCATCCGGGTAGCGAGTTGGTGACGTAACCGTTTCCACAGGCGACGGTTTTTTTTTTTTGCACTTCAGCCAATAGGGATCCGCTACATGAGCACTCGCACTCCTTCCTCCTGACGTTCGTCACATGCCCGAAGCGACGCTCTGAGAGGGGCGGGAGCCGAAGACAGACTGGGAGAGAGCGCTAGGGGAGAGTGAGAGAGAAAGAGAGGGGAAAGGGGACAGAGAGAGCATACAGGAGAGAAGAGTGAGTGTTAACCCCCCTCTTTCATTTTTTTTATCTTTATTTTGCTCACCGAGGCAAGAGTGCCTTATTTAGAATACAGCCCCCCCCCCACCCACCACCACCATCTCTCCTGCTCCCCGCACGACCGCGTGAGGTCCACAGCACCCCTGTTGCCTGCCTCCTGTGCCGAGCCGCAAAAAGTGGGTTTCCTGAGATTTCAGAAAGAAAGAAGGAGAAGGGAGAGGACACAGCGTGTTTTCTGTGGTAGTTGTGCGTGGGGTCAATGCAAGGGGAGTGTCCGTGCAGGCCGGTGAGTCGCAGGCGGACAGCCGGTGGTTATTTTGAAAGCGGTTCCGCGGCGCGCGCCGCGGTTCTGGGAGGGCGGGGCCGGAGGTGGGGGGTGACGTCGCGCTGGTTTTTTTAAAATCGGTGTTTTTTGGGAAGACCCCCCTCCCCTCCCTTCACCTACCCGACACACTGCATGAGGAGTCGAGCAGAGTAGCGGAAAACTCGCTTAGCTTAGGTTGCATTTGGAAACCCTAATTGAGTTGTTCGGCGATTAAATTGACAGGCTCCTTTTTTTTTTTGTCCTGTTGAGCTTCCGTTGAGAAGGATCATCATCGGTCATTATCTGAAAAGAGGCAACGTTTTTAGATAGACGCGTGCATAGATTTTTTTTTGCTCTTAAGCTCATAAGCCACTCGCTCACGCCGGAGTGAGTAAATCAAGAAAAAAAAGTGAAGTTTTTCTCTTCACGTAAGGAAGACACACTTTTCTCTGACTCGGCTGAATTTTATTTATTTTTATTTGGGGAAAAAAGGTTGAAAGGGAAGACTCGCTTCAGCTGTCATTGTCAAGCGTAATTTTCGTGCACTCTGGAGAGGATTTATTGGATGGAGGTAAGTCTACGTTTCTCTATAGGTTCGTGACGTGATTATGTTCAATCTTGAGTCCGATTAATTAGGTAACTCGTAATTTTGCACTTTCAGACATTTCTTATGTAATGAAGCAGGATTCGCCTTCAGTTGCATTTCAATCTAACCTACGTTAGGGTACTGAAATATGAATGATATTTTGTTTGTCTTGCGTATCTTTTCACTTTGCTTCGCTCGTTTTGCTTCGCTGTATGAATTTTGTACGTGATCTGAGCAAAGATAACTATGGGAAGTAAAGGAAAATCAATATAACACCAGCTTTTCTTCCTCGGGGTTCATAGGCCGAGGTTTTAAAATACCCCTAGCTCACTGATTTTTGCCTTCCTCGCAGTATAGAAACTTTATTTTTCGAAACCCCAGAGCCAAATCTGTCTAGGTGCAGTCTGCGGGAGTCGTAGTTTAAAGGAATAATAAACCCAGAAATCCAGTCTGCGCCCCGGTAGCATCAGGAGTCGGAAGAAATACAATTCCTGTCAGAAAGCTTTAATTTTATAGCCAGATTACCTCCGTTGTCGAGGTCCCCGGTGTGCAGGAAAGAGTCTGCTATGGATGTTAATGGGAATGATGACCTATTTTTATTTTGCCTTACTTGATTTTTTTTCCGGCTTCGTCGATGGCGCGCTTCAATCCTATTAATTTGTTTGCAATAAGAGAAACAACGCGCCTTTGACCTTGAGTTTATATTCTCCAAAGAGTCTTTTCTTTGCAAATGCACCGAGCACAAACGGCCGTACATCGTCGGCTTGCAGCTGCAGAACATGTTCCGATGGGGAAGAGTTTGGTATCCTGTTTGTCAGCTGTTCCGACCAAACTCGCCTTCAGTTACAGGATCTGCGTTCCGCCGTGCTGACAGTCGAGGGATAACTGTTCATTGACACTTGCTGTCCAGTACCTCGGTCCCTCTTTCTTGAAGGGGCTTGTATTGCTTATAGGAAGCCTATTGACTTCATCGCTGAAGTCTTGTCAATCGGTTATAAAGGCAACTTGCACGAGCGCTTCCTGACTGCTAAAAGAGTCGTATTTTTCCGTCCATATTAATAAGGCTGACTGTATATGCTGGTATAATATCAGTTAATTTCAAAGATTTAGGAAAAAAACAGCAACGCTTGTTTAACATGCAAGAGAAAGAACCATCAAAATCAACAGCTGGTTAAGTCTATTCACGGACAAAAAATGTACTTTAAATGGCAATGCACTTGTTCTTGTCGCCAGGTAATAGGCGTGTGATATCGGCTAGCTAAGTGACTCAACGCGCCAAATATAGATGTTTAAGAGACTTTGCTGCTAGAAGACGACTCTGTTTTATGCAGATCGCCACCCCATCCCCCATCTACCATATTAAAATGTGTGTGTGTATATATATAAAAGCTCATTTATCAGCGGTCCGATGGCATCCCTGGTTCTCTCTGCAGGAATATCTTGAACTGCTCTTGTAACTTGTGCATTAAAGGGCCGATGCGAGCTGGGAGGTACAAAGTTAACCGCAAGTTGTGCCTGAAAAAGTTCACCAAGTTCTGTCATTAACGCTTCACTCTTACAGTGTTCACGTGTTAGTTTTTTTTAACTTCGGAAGCACTTTGTTCATGTAATTAAAACTACATTGCCTTCTTTTGAGTGTTGTGTGCCATAAATGTGCTTGTTGGAAGAGCAGTTTAATCGAATTGTTCACAAGAAAGAAATGCACACAGTACAGGCTATTTAATTAACCTAAGTGTCAGATGGTTCAGAATGTTAATCAGTGTTCTTAAATATTAAATTACATCTGAATGTTACCTGCATGCAATAAAGTAGAGAAAAAACATTTTTATGATCTGAAGTAGGATATAGAATGTTAACCACATTGCACTCTGTAAAACTCAGTTCATACCTTCTTTCCTAGTATTTAAAAATACTTTTTCCTCTTTTGATGGATGCTTTCATTAATGAATACCTCATCCATCACATAGAATAACCTTTAACTACATAATTGCCAAATGAGGTTATGGAGGCTTTTGGACCAAAACTAATTTCACTTGTGGCTTGATTGCACAAAAGCAGGCTTGATAGATTTCATCAGGTTTCACAATCAGGAAACGGCAACATGACAAACTGTGCAAAAATAAGTATCGTCCTTCTGTACATTTTTATAGGGGCCCACGGAAATAACCACATCCTCAGATATTAATGAAAAGATGTATGCGATTTGCATTATCTGGTAACATATACAACTGTTCTTAAACATTTAGATTTAAAAAATGGTACCACAAGTTGTGCTTGCTATTTCAAGAATTTAAGGACCTGAAATATTTTAATGTTTAATATGATCCTGTTTTAGATAGATGGGGAAATGATCAAGTAATTAAATCATAAGCATCTTGTCAGTGCCAAAATCAAAGTATAGAAGATTGGAATTTAAATAATGGTGAGCAGTGTAATGGATAATAAATGTCCTGGATTTGTTGAATTTTAAAGTATGTAAATTTTCAGTTGGTAAAAGGCAAATATTTTAATTTTTTTCTCAAAGGTGTTTATATTATTAAGACTAAACATCAAGTGGTTGTATCTGTATCCATTTTTCATCTACATTTCTTGTGTTTCTGTTCTCCTTACATGGAAAACTTGGATACTGTTTTATTTGGGATTCACAATGTTGAAAGGAACATGTTTGCTGCTAGTCACAAACAAATCAAAATGGTATTCTCTTGAGAAGGATCATTTAACCTTTTTGTTTTAGTTATTTGAAATTAAAATGCTTTGGTTAAATCAGTTGCCGTTAATGGAAAATCAACTATTTTGTTTTCTTGCAACTGTATTGATGAATGGAACAGTGATACTTTTTAACAATGAAGTGATAATTTTGCATTTAAGTTGAAGATATTTGAATCAAAATTCATTCAGTGTAGATAAAATTGTTTTGGGAATTGACATGTGAAGCTCACATCTAATATTTCACTGAGCTTTGAATTATGGATTTCCAGTTAAAGCATTGAAGCAGGGTTATGTTTAACTTGACCTGGAAGACTAGGTTTCTGCAGAATTTGGACTCAATTAGGTCTGTTGCACAGTAATGAATGTGACTTGCCCTTTAAGTCTGAATAACTACACAATGCATTCTAACATGAGATTCTATTAAAGAAATGTAAATTAATAAAATACATGAAAATTACAGCTCTTTTGAGGACTTAAGATTTAGCAAAGGTATATTTTTTGTATTGTCGTTCATTTTTTAAAATAGGTTATGTAATTATCAGAGGTGGCATTGAACAGAATTAGCATCAAAGTACAATCTAAAATACAGTATTCAGATATTTGGTATGATTGTGAACTGCATTACAGCAGCTATAGTTAACATAACATTTTCCTGTGGTGGTTTAGAAAGTATTATGTATATTTATATTTATATAATTGATATGTTAGGGAAATGGGTAAGAGTATAAGTATGAGAATCTGTAATATTTACAGATTGAAGTAACTACAATAAACTAGTTATTGAATTCTTAAGATTTAGCACATAAGCTGCCAAGGTTTCTTGTTAGCTACAGTAATTGTAATTTGTCTCATTCAGTTCAATGAAGGTCTGCCATATAGTAGAACCATCATATTTGCTGCCATCTTTCAACTAAATCTGAGGTATTTACAAACTCACAGGACTTTGGAAGTCTTCCTTACTTTTATTTAAATGCATTTGTTTACATTTGAGCACATTTCATTCATATGTACTGTGAAAGTTTTGCATGAATGTTAGAAACTCTACTGTGTTAATGAAAGTGGGCTTTTTGCTAGCAATGTTCTTTAGAAATAATTCTCCATTTGGAAAAGGGAAATATAGCACTGCCAGTGTAATCAGTATGATCTTTCTCCTTAAAGGAAATGAAGTTGTGTGCTTGTAACTGCAGAAGTCTGAAGATGCAGGACTAACTTACCTGGTGTTATGTCTGTCTGCTTTATTTGATGAAGTTCTGCTGCATTTGAGGTTTCTTCAATTGTGCAAAGGTTGAAAAGTCTCTGATTTGCTAATGAATTTGTTGAAGGTACTTCAACTCAGTACTTCACAGTATGCAAGAAGAATGCTAATTATAGACCTCTATAGACAAAAAAGTCTGTTTCACCTTTGGTTTGTGCTTTAGACACTGTTCTGTTTCTGACTGTAGAGTGTAAAGAGCCTGCCTTGCACTGTATAATGTAATATCCTGTTTATTTGAATTGTCTTGATGAAGTTTACATCTTAGTCATGACCATTGATATTCTGCATATTACTGTTGCAAATGGTTTTGAACTTTTTCTTTATATTCTTCCCAAAGAATCCTTTAGACAGTTTGGGCTGTAAGCTGTTTCGTTTTCCTGTTTTTACACGCTATTCAATCTATGAAATGAGTTTGCCCCTTGCCTCTTCAATGTGTATTGCTTAGTTTTTACTGTACTTATTTAAATACCCAGGAACCTTTTCACCTTGATCTAGCTTTTGCTTACTTTGTGAGTTTTAACATAATTTGATTGTCACGCATATGTCTTGCCCATTATAAGTAATAGTCTACTATCTTCAGATAGTCTTGACTGCTCAGTTTGTATGTGTGTATATTAACTGGATAAGTGATCTCTTGAGCATCACTTGTTAAAAACGTATTTGTACGTGACATACTCTAATTTCATTACATTGGACCATCCAAAATCTTATTTGCAGTACTTTTTATATAAAGGTTTTAGAGTTCATTTTCTTCTAGAATTGATATATTTATATTCTTTGGCAATATATTCTTGTGTGTGGTGTTTCATAGGTGTTCGAGCTAGTTAGTGCTAAAAACAATTTTCAGTTGGCTTTTCTAGGAGAGGTCTTGTACTGATTTGAGTGGTTAATTTGGAGTAATGTCTTTAACAGTAATCAGATTTTTCGAGTGGACGTTTAGTTACGCATCTGCACCTCAAAGGGTATTTTTTATTGGTACCGTATGGATTGTGGACCTTCACCTTGTACCCTTCATTTTTTA